TGTGTGCAGAAAAATCCCAGTAGATAAATGGTTTCTGAAGTACTCAGACCAGCCCATCTCGCACCAACAACCATGCCACAAAGTCACTTAATGCCCGTTCTTTGACATTGTGATGCTCGGTTTGAACTTCAGCTGGTTGCCTTGACCATGCCTGCATCCCCGAATGCATTCAGTGGCTACCATGTGACTGATGTATTACCACACGTGACTTGGAAGATTAAATATTTGAATTAATGTGCAGTGGAACAAGTGTACCTAATAAAGTGGCCAGTGAGAGTATATAACTAATGAATGAATATGAAGGACCTTAAAATGTCCTGCTGAATATATTAATTTAAAAAATAAACTTTAATGAAAATTATAGTTTAAATACAAAGTAGCTCATTGCTGTCAAAATAGAAATGACGCTCATTCCACTGACACACAGGTATGAAACTCACACTCCTGTCATCCTCTATTATCTCAAACTGGTTATAATCTGGCACCAGTGACTCCATCAAAAATAGCTTACATTCTGGTTAACCACCTCTTCTCTCTCAAACCTCCCAAATACAAAAAATCTTGTGCGTTTTCTGAACAACAAAGAATAATATATATATATACTAGTGTAAAACACTGTTTAAGGTCGTGACCTGAGATCAGTTTAATGTATCGTGATTACATTTGCCCTTTCTTGGTGTTGTTTTGTAGCACACTGCATCTCACGCTATATATGCTGTGACATGTTTCAGTAATCCAAGACTAAATAAATCAGTCATTTACAGTATAAAAGACACTTTTATTTTCCGCTGTTCTCATAGTTAAACTCACAGTTTCTTAAAATGCCATCAACAACATTTTCCAACAGTTTGGGCAAATTTAAAACAAGCATCACCGAGTTTCTTTACTCGCACTGGAACTTTTTGCTCACTTGTCCCCAACACCAACCCGACGCAGCCTCACAAACATCACGCAAACACCGAGTTCCAAGTCGAAAGAGATTTTAAATACAAAAATGTCAACGAACTACATTCTATATAAATCTAATTTTGACATAAAGCAACAAAACGTCAACAAAAAACAAGATTTGGAGCAATGTCATATTGGTCTGAAGCAGCCCGAGTGTCGAGGAGAGGCCATTTCCATGAGATAATCTTCAATACGTGTCTCTATGTCTGAGTACAGGTCCTCAACTTGCTCCCTGAAAGGCGGATGCCACAGCCACAGCATTACGACCCCTGCTACAGCGAGGAGTAAAAGGAAGAACAAGCACAGCTTCCACCAGGATCCACACGGTGTCTAAACAGGAAGAAAAGAAATAATTTAGTCAGGTGGATATTAAATCATCAGCAGGCAATGATAACTCATGTGCATGAGCAGCTGCTCAGCTGGTTGAAGCAAACTGATAGTGTTGAAAAGCATAGTGGGGCAGAGTGTTAGAATTATGTAGTGGTTTAATTACTGGCTGATAATATAAAGGCAATGAGAGCTTTTGAGTGCTGCAAGGGCATTAAGTCTCCCTTAAATGATCTCACACACACTCTACTCACTGGTCCCCTGCGGCGGTGGCTGAGCTGCCGGAGTTCGTCTCTGCACTGCGACAGCCGGGCCTGGCTGGACTGACACTCCTGCTCCATAGCGTGCAGCTCTGCCTGCAGCTCCTCACACTGCACGCACACAATAAAGAGCGTGAACATGCAGAAATGCTCAAAATACACTCTAAATGCTGGTGATCCTCAGACAGGCACTTTTCA